CACCTTGTACAAGTTATGTAATCATAATTAAAATACAATAAAGGCAATAGCTGCTAATAACTACAGCCTTAGCAAAAACAAAAAAAAAATAAAAAAATTTCTGCTAGGATTGATAGAATAGAAAAAGCAATCAATAAAGATAGAAATGCAATAAATTAATTAACTAATTAATTTCAAAAAGTATATATATGTAAATGTGTTATTTGCAAAGAGACAGGCCATAGTAAAGATAGTTGCCCTAATAGAAAGATAGCACAATCTAATTTCAATCAGTCTGCTTATTTTAAGCCTTTTACGCCTATAAATTTTCAAAACATACTCCCAGATTTGGATAATAAGGAAGAAAGTTATAATGAAAAAAATAATAGGTGGACCAGGTATGATCCACTGAAAAAAAAAAACAGGTACCAATAGAAAATAACAAGCCTGAAATGTATGATCAGCTATTGTCTAAGCTTTCACCACTGATATAAAAAATGTGCTTGTCCTGAAAGGCTTAGGAGAAAAAGTTAAAAAAATTAGATGAGTGGTTTTCATCTTTACAGTACTTGCATTGTAATATAAATGATCTATCGATTTCTAATTCTTTTTTAGATACTGGAAGTGAATTTGGTATTTTAAATGATCCAGCAATTCACACACTTGGATGGAAGATTGATGAGCCATCTGATTTTGCTATAAAGGGCAATTCCAAACATATTACTGATTTGTTAGGATGGTACACAGATATGCTGATTACTATGAAGGACAAAGAAGGAAAGACAGTCATGGTCATGGGTAATTTTGTATGTATAAATAATAGTAAACCTGAACTAATGCTAATTTTAGGTATGCCTAATATTCAAAAGCTCCAAGGTGTTTCTGAGCCAAATAAAAATCAGTTCTGCATAAAGTTACATGGGAAGACTTATGTTATTCCAACATATAGCAAGGTCCAAGTAGCTAAAAAACTGTCAAAAGAGGAGCAGAACCAAGTATCTACCGATTCCTTTAGCCTGATTAGTAAAGACTTAAAAAAAAGTTTGTAAACTGCATAAATTATGCTTTAGTGCCTTTGGGTAAGAATATAGGAATTCGTGTAAAAGAGCTTGAAAAAGCACTATTTTCTAGCATTTAATCAAATTTGGAAATTATAGAATACTACAATATTTTGCTTAATCGATATAAAAAGATTTCTCTAAAACCAAATAAGGTTAAATAATTATACTTTTTTCTTGCAAGCTCGAAAAAAGAAAAAAGTAAATAATTTTCTGAATATATGTATTTAACATATAGTGATTACCTGCTTTCTGGCTTCAAGCAAGAATTGCGAGAAGGCAGAATAAGAGCATGTCCAGATGCTCTAATTTTCTTTATTTCAGAACTAGTTCTTTTATACAAATCCAAGACATCTTCGAAGGATTCAGTAGACAAAATAATTTTTTTTTGTTTCAGACATTGGTTGATTTTGAGTAATAGTTGCTTCAGAGGTGCTAGCAGACTTGATATGATTTCCTTGGGACTGTTTCTTTTCTTTACTCACTTTTGTCTTACTATCTGCACTTTCTTCTGAAACTGGATTAGTATATTTGCTAATTTTATCATCATGTATCTTGTTTTTCAGTGCTGTAGATGCAGAATACAATTTATTTTGAAAATCTCTTTTGGCTTGGTGCTTTTCATCTGTTTATCTATAACATTCATGCTTGGAGTAACTGCTAAACCATTTCATTAAATCTTATTAAACTCTTGTTCTCTTCAAATTTGATATAAACGACTATTTGATATTTTATATTTTTTACTTAGCTGAGCTAAAGGTTTAGACTTTATATCTTAGTACAGCATAATGTCTTTGTAATCCGCAAAAGACAAGTAACTAGCTCTAAAATTAATATGTCTATTAAGTAAGTATTTGTTTATATTTATAGCTAATCGCTAAAAGATTTTTTTATATTACAAATAAAAAATATACAAAAAATATTGATACTATAGTAGTATCAGTATTATGGTAGTATTAGTATTATAGTATTATCAGTAGTTTAGTATCGGTAAAACAGTAGTATTAGTACTATTCTAGTAATATCAGTGGTAATATAAATACTATAAATAGTATCATAGTATCAGTAGTATTCATAAAAAAATAAAGTACTTTCAAAATTTCTAGAACAGGACCATCTCAGAAATCATCAAGAAAAAAAAAATAAATCATATTTTTTTTTCCTACTTTGTAACCATGCCAAGATTATGTCCAATGTGTATACATTAAACAATATAAAAGATAGAGAAGATCCTAAAGGGGTCAGGTATCAGCTGAGTAGTATTTGCAAATTAAAACTTGAGAATGCATTGCATAGTAGTATTAAATCTGCTTCTGATCTTGCTAATGAATATAAAGACCTGCAAGGTGTATAATTAAAGCAAGAAAAGAAACTTGAGCTAGTTCAAGCTGATACTAGAAAAAAGATTAGCCAACTAAATGCATCTAATACTAGGCTTAGATCTTCTGAACAGACATCCCATACTGAAATCTAATCGCTTAAATCTGATATTAAAACACTAAAGAGAAAAGTGACCTTCACCCAGAAAGCTTTGTCTCTTGACAAGAATGAGATTCTTTGTCTTAAAGGTAAAATAGATAAACTGAAAGCCAAAGTAAAAAAATTGGAATCAAAGATGAAATTAGAATACACATCTTATAATTCAGATACCACTTCATTTAGGGATAAAATAAGCGAATTAAATTTCCTTAATCATATATTGAAGCAGGAAAAGGATGATTTAAATTCAAAGAAACATGAATTGGAAGCCAAAATAAAGGCAAGAATTCTGAAATTACCTCTCTTGGAGCTAAAGTAAATAAGCTAGAGAAAGTAGAAAGAGGTCTAATATGTAGGTATGGGTTAATTAGCTGTCTTAGGTCTAGAGTGAGAGAATTGAAAGATCAGTTAGAACAACAAATATTCCAGTCATACTACAAACTGTACATAATAGATGGAGCTAAAGCAGATCTAGACTTAGCTGAGAACTCTGTAGAAAAAGAGTTCCTTTCTCAAGAAACTAATACTCATTTAGTAAAGCAGATTTCGAAAGCATCTAGTGAGTTTAATAAAGTGAATGGAGGTAATAGCAGATCAGAGAAAGGTAACAAAATCACTAGCCCTGAAATAACCTTAGTATCATTCAATTTCTTCTTTTAGCAGAATGCAGTCTTTGTCATAATAATAATATTACTAATCATATACTTCCTATAGCATATATCCTCTTATATATAATCTTTTATTTTACTCTTCAATAAAGAAAAAAATATTCCAAATTATAAAATACCCTTAGATAGAAATCAGAGTTATGGATTCCCAATCCGTTATACAAAAGAACCAAAAAAAGAACTACCACCTATGAAACTCTATCTTATAGATATGGACGAGGCCACAAAGCACAAATCATCCTAAAATATTGGACATCCAGCAATGTCATGACCTTTCAACATAATAGTTAGTAGAAGAAGTGGTACAGGTAAGACCAATTTACTAGCAAACCTTGTTTTTGGAGATAAATGTGAATATATATATAAAAGACAAAAGGGGAATCTAGATATATTAGATATGATAATTTGATAGTTTGTAGATACCATCCAGATGAACCTAAATGGGCATTTGTTAGATATATGTATGGACTAATTGCAAGTGATTCCAAAGCACCATATTATGAAAATATTATGTTTAGTTATATCTTACTTGAAAAAATCCCTAGCATAAAATCATTTTCACCTAAGAGGAGCACCATAATTATTTTTGAGAATGTATGTGTTGCTTCTGAATCTATCCAAAATTGAATTATTCTATTTTTTTACACATGGGTGTCATCAAAATATTTCTTCATGCTATGTTACTCAGAAGTACCATCATATACCAATTATTATTCATGAAAACATCTCCCTTTAGTAACATATAATAGAGGAAGCAGTTATCAAGATGTCTCCAAGATAGCTGGCTAATATACTGATAATGTAAAGGGTGCATCTATGGTTATTAACAGCTACCTCTGCAAAGGTAAATTTGTTGTATTTGATCTCAGCAGCTCAAAGAATGATCCACTCACAATTCAACTAAGGTTTGATACTTCATTAAACCTGCAGAAAGAGATAGAGGCGAGGCAGAAGCGCAAAAAAAAAGTGCCTCATCTAATGAATAGAATTAGTCAAATTGTAGATCACCTATTTTCTCATAAATTTGAAAATAGAAAAAAAAAGTAACTAGAAAATTTTTTAGATAAAATTTTACAAAACTCTTCACTCTGAAAAAAAATTATTTTTGAGAAGGAATAATTTGTTTGTTCACAAACTTCCAAAGTGCTTAATTATATTACTGATCATAGATGAGAAAATCATAATTAAATATACACTTCATAGATTTTTATTTCACATTGATAGTAAACAACTATAAAAAAAATAAATTATAATAATAAATATATAATGTCTGCTTTGGCTGGTAGCGAATCTATGCTTCAGAAAATTTGGCAAATATACTCACAATTATTGTTTGAATCTGAGAAATCTATGTTAATTTCTTTTCTTAGAATATAAAGAAATTTAGTTTCGAAATAGTTGATTTTTAGTAAATCACATGAATATGATTTGCCTACCATTTTACAAATGTATTGCCAATATTTTGTAAGTCTAACAAAGTTTTCATTGCCATTGTTGGGGTATTTGACAATATGGTAATATTCAGAATTTAATAGCCACTTTAACATATAAGTCTATTCTAAATATTTAACAATTCTATAGCCTTGCCGATATAATTCTATAAAAGCAACTATATATGATACAGGATATAATTGATTATTTAGCTGTTCTTTTTTTCTTTCTATTCAGTTATCAGGAAGATAATATTCTTTATACTCTCCTGATAATAGATAATTATATCCTTCATTTATCATAGCAATAATTTTAGCACTACATAAATTATATTGTTAATAAGTATAAGGATTTTTTATTTTTCAAAGAATGATATCTAAAAATTTCTTATCATTAGGAATACCATCATTCCTCACCATATTCCAAATTCATTTCACCCATGTTTCAGGTCTCAACTTGTAATCTCTCTAAGCCTATTGGATAATTTTTGCACTATTAAATAAGGAATAAGCAATTTTCTCTCTAAATCCATTATCTATATTATATATATAATAACCATGCTATGGATATACAGAATAATTCATAAAAATTTTATTAACCTCATCAGAACTAAGTAATGATACACTTCTTTCTTCTTTTTTCTAAACAGAATTAGAATGTGTAAAATGCCTTTTAGCTGTTTTAGCAATGTATTCATTCAGATGATAATTAGCACATTCAATAGTATTTTTATAGATAAATACCAAGATGTTGCATATAGTGCAATAAATATAAAATAAATGCTTCTCAATCGTAAATTCCCCATCTCTAAATCTTTCAGTTAAATAGATAAATCCATTCTTGGAGAAGTATTTTGAGTTATTTTCTAGAAGTGTCCTAAATGGATAACGAATACATGAACACTACATTTCAGGCATTTCATTACTATACCTATATTACAGATTGATTAATGCCTGTAATATAGCAGGATTTAAACCATTATAGTAGTTAGTTTTAACTATTTTGCAGGTATAGTGATAATATGTATATGTAGCAATTTTACTGATTTTATTAATTTATAGCAATTTTAATGACTTATAATGGTTTGTAACAAGTATATGATAATAAAATATTGGATTAATTTTTATTCAAAACTGAAAGATATGTTGTGTATGCATATTTACAAAGAAGAGAAGGGAGCATATACTTCATAGATTTTTTTTTACATTGACACTTTTCTATCTGTGTTAGAATTAGATAAAAAAATATTAATATAAAAAATATATCACTCTGATATAGTATTAGAAAAATAGTGAACAACTACCTATGCCTGTATCAAAAATTAATTTTATTTACATTTATATATATATTTTTTTTCTGATGAATACATTTAATCACTCTTTGCAGTGTGGTTCAGTCGTTTAGAAAGTCTGCATCACTTTCCTTCTTATACATGCCCCACATTAAGGATGACAATTATGCTCAGGGCAAAAGAAAAAAAAGGTATATCTATTTATTTAGATTTTGAGGTGGATATATTTAAACTATTTTTTATCTTGTAGTTCGGTGGACTAACTATGAAAAGCTTGTTCAGTCTTTCTCTTCTTACAACAGAACAATAATAGTTAACAATCACACTCTCAAAAAGTGTTTTACAATATATATATAAAGAAAAATAAATTTTAGGAAGGTAATAATCAGATCTTAGGCCTGCCCTGAAAGGCTATAGCTACATCTGAGAAAACTATATTATTAAGAATGACTAGATTGTGTATTTTTTGTGGAACAAACAACTACCTTCACCAAAGTACTAAGCTACCAAATGGTAATTATGAGTATATTAAACTTCACAACACACTTAGTCAGAAGCTTTAGCACTTCAATAGTTGAAACAAAATTTTTTGCATAACTAAGTATACTTATAACAAATAGTTATGGCAATTGTTTTATTAATACAAAAATAATCTAATCTAAATCTAAAAGGATTTAAAATTTTTTAAGAAAATAAAAAAAGGTTTATATAAGGGCAATCTAAACTATTGTTATATGGCTCATATTAATATTAGGCTGAGTAGAGAGATGAAAACAAATATGTAGTATTTTTTTAACAAGTATTATGGCATATAAATTATGCTTCATGTTTTTAAGAGGCTTATCTACCCAATAATAAACATTTGTACAATATAACCAAATAAGTTTTGACAATAATTTTCTGAATTTTTGTTCGATTTACAAGTTTTATATAATCACATAAGTATACAGTAGTTGAAGCAAAATATATAAATAATATGCTATAAATCTGGAAACAGATCTTTTGCCCTTAAACCTCGTCAAGCACATGCTAAATCTATGAAAATATTTGATTATTAATAGCGATAATAACTATATTTTTATATATTAACCATAAAATAATTCATACTTATATATTCTCATCTACGATCAGAGACAGTAGAAGGGATTTGTATTTGGCTTGCTTTCAGTTTGAAAAGTTGGTCACAATGGTTTAAATCTTGAGCATTATTAAGGTCCTGCTTAGAAACTATTAATTTATTAGCTATTTTAATTCTAGCTTCAAGATAAGTAGAATCAAAATCTCGTAAATTATAAAAGAATGTATTGTGCACAAAGTACACAATATTATGCCAGATGTTTTTTGTAACTGGAAAATTACCATGGAGCAATAGACAGGATGCAAATGCCACTACTTGTTCTGGCAGAAGATGTACAACTAATTGAAGTTGAAGAAAACATAATTCTTTTCCTTCGAAATCCCCCAGTGCAACTAAAACACACAGACTATTTGGTTCATAATAATCATCCTAATGATAGTCACTAATGGTATTAAAGTTAATGGCTATCATTAGGAAAACTCCAAATGCTCTTGGAGTAAATGGGCCTCATGATAATTTATTCAATTTTGTATATAAATCCACATAATATTCTTGAAGTAACCAATTGATACTTTCTGATAATTTCCTAAGACCTCGAAGTAATTTACTGATGCATTTATGATGATTAATATTATGTGTACTCGCAATGTTAGAGCTTGTGAAGGAAAGTAAATTGTTTCTTATATAAGCTCCAAAATGCTCAATAAAATTGGTCCAAAATTTTTTACTTTGGTGTGAAGGATTTTTTAATAAATAGAAATAGTACTAATTTACAATATTAGATGCAGTTGTAACAGCATCTAGATCATTGAGTTGCTCCAAGTGAATTAATGTTCAGTGACCTAAGTCTGTAATGCACTTATATTCAAAAATATGTTCAAGTTGAACTAGCTTATCTAGTAATTTGTTATTATTTCATGCTGATACAATAAGCTGTGTTTTTTCTTTTCGACTTTTATGTATAGTAGCTGTATCAAAAAAATTTTGCAACTCAACATAAGCATGCTGGAGTTTTTTCCATAATAGTCTGAGGTGTTCTCATATATGCTTCTTTTTTAGCAGTCTTTTTGATATCTTTAAACCTAATCACTGCCTGAAAGCAATCTACAATCATTTGTTATTAGTACTAACATTCAATAGTTCTTTAATATCATTCTTTTTCTTAATAATATCACTATAAACTAGAGATAAAAAATCCAAAGGAATTTCAGGTAAGTCAATAGAATTATTGCTAGTAAATGCCTCTCTCAGTAATGTTTTAATAAGTAAGTCTTTTCCAATATATTATGTTGGGTCCTAAATTTTTAGAAAATATTTTATCAGAAGAACAGAGAGAAATGCTTCTCCATTCCCTTTCCAAGTAATAAATATTGTCAATAGCAAACAATTTTCAGGTAGTAAATTGGATTCTATGTTAGTAAAATAAAAAATAGATATAAGAATTTTTTTTTTCGAAAGATTGCAAATTTTTGTAGAACGAATGAGTCCCTCTTACCATACCCAAGATGGATCAAAGATAATATCATCGATTATTGGAAGAATATCATTATTCGGGCTACAAAGCATCTCAGTTTGTTTCTGCTCATACCTTTTATTTTTACATATACAGGCCTGTCTTGACAATTTGGTTTTAGTAGATTCATCCTATAATATAATCACCTCTTTCTTTCATTTATTATTTAATGTTTGCATTGCAATTTCTGTCTTTGGTAAAAAAAAAAAAAGGTAAATATTTGTATTGCACAAAGTATAAGATTAATGGGTTGAAAAACAAATAAGTTTGATTATATATTGAAAGAAAGCCTTCTTTATTAGAGAATTTATACAACAAATTATAGTATGTTATATTCAGTATTGAATTTAAGTTAATCGTGTGTTGCTACAATAATTTAACACTTTATAAAACAATAACATGTCACTTTATTTGGCATCATAATAATTTAACTCAATAATTTCTATGCTAACAATTACATATTTACTATATTCAGCACTACAATTATTAAACACACCAACAATTGCACATTTTCTATATTTGGGATTAGATCATTAATAACCTGTTGAGTAGGTATACTTATATAGAATACAATAATAATTTTATACACCTGATTTATAAATTTAGAATAACCAGTATGCACTTTGTAAACCAACATCTAGCATCACTTTTTTTTACCAAAGTGCGATACATGCTAAAAAAATAAAGTATGTATGTATATGTCATACTATCATATGACTCAACAGTCCCACAGGTCTGCTTTTATTTTGGCCTAGGTCGAAGCTAAAATAGCGAAAAATTAATATTCATGTTTATCAGATAAAAAGTTTACTGACATTAAATTTTATATAGTGTTATCTTAATTTCTCACAGTTGATTTTTTATTAAGTTAATAAGTAGTGCTAATATAAATAGCATATAGAATTTTTTCTTATCTAATACATAATCCTGTGATAAGAATAGGACTTTAAAAGACTATAAAAGTAATGAGTACAATATTCATTATTAGTAGTTTTATCCAAATTCATATGTTGCAGGGATTTGGAATCTCCACATCTCTAAGATCATCAGATATAAATCTATCTTAAGTGGTCATTAATTATAAGAAAATTAATTTCACCAAAAAAATGGCAAAATAGATTCACTATTTGGATCTTATGACCAAGAGAGTTGCTTTATAGAGAAAAAAACTGGCATTAGACTTGGGCATTGTAATTACTAATTGTGTATTTTCTTTTTGGCAAGTTCTTAGACCTAACGAATATAAGGTATAAAAATAAGTAGATTTGCTCATAAGGTAAGTTAGCAATAACATTGCTTTTATATATTTTTTTGGCTTAACTTATTTAAAATTTACTCTTAAGATCTGGTTAACATACATTGTTTGTTATATGTTTTTTTTCAAAACTGAATTTCTACTTACTATTTATTTTTATATTAGAAAATGAAAATGAAAATATTACTTTAAATTATCATGTCAGCAGTGATTATTCAATTAATATTTCCCCAAATATGACAGTCACTAATCTTAAAAATATAATTAGAAATAATGTTCCTTTTACTGATTTTGATTTCTATGTAAATAATACTACTCGAAATGTAAGGAAATATATGGATTCACAAAATATGGTTTTACAATATTTTGATATTAATAGACTGAGAAATCACATCCATATCCTTGTTTATAAAAGATAATTTTTTTTTTATATGTATTCACACTAAGTAATTGTGATATATTTTTTTATTTGTATATTATATTGTTATTATGACAATATAATTTTTTATAATAATAAAGAGAGGAGGTTCACTGAGCTTCCAATTTTTTATTTTTACATGATCTTTTACAATGTAATTTGCAATTATTAATTAGTGGAGAGACAGGTAGAAAAGTGTTGATATGAAAAAAATGATCCTGGCTTAATATGTATAGATTAAATGATCTGATTTTCTATAAGTTTCACTGATATTTAAATTAAATAATAACCTTCATCATCATCAGAAAAACCACACAATCCCCTCCATCATCATTATCATCATCTTCATTATTATTGAAGGAATCCTTAACATAAGAGATAATGAAGTTTTCATTTATGCTTTTACAGATACTATTGGGGTTTTATGATTAAGAGAATCCTTGCATTTGATATGATAAGCCTGTTCTTTGCAATAATCACTAGCACTCTATTTACCTTTTATATCATTTCATAAACTCTCTTCTTTATGGTCTCCATTATATAAGTGACAGAGTATTGAACTATCAAGATTAAACCACTCACAACATTTAAAACAATCTCTTAAAGATAAAGAAAAAAAACACTCTAACATCAATCCAATGATATGTTTTCATTTTTCTTTTGGATCATTAGGTAAAATAGAAATCGGAAGTCTGGATTTGTTAGATAATCCTATCTTACTAGAAGAAATTATGGATGATGTACTCATCTCAGTTTTGGAAGTATTGTTTGGACTCGTCTTACTTGAAGAATTAAAGTCATAAGATACAGAAAGAGGTGATTTAGTTGAAACTGCCTTCAATGCATCTGTTTAATTATCTGAAATCTTCTCTTCAGAATTGATATTGGAGCCTTCTTGATCATCTGGTAATTCAGTGTTGGGGTTCTTGGAAAAATAATCAATAATAGTTTGAATCTGGCTAACAGATAAATCTGTGATAGCATTCACATTATATGTTTTGATATACTTGATTTTATTAACTCCTATTTTTTCAGTAAACTCATAAACCTTTCTGGCTCTATTGATGCACTGATATAAAGTATTTTATTTGGTATCAGGATTGTATGCTAGAATAAAATCGTAAATCTGTCCTTTTGCTTTTTTCATACCCACCTTTTCTTTGATCATAATT